CTGTGAGTTGATGGGCTTAAAACACTAATTTGTTCATGCCGAACCAATGACCGTACCCTATGCTTCCTTAAGTAACTCTGCCAACTAGATTGGCTACATAAACATCACCATATATTCCACATGGAGGAAGGGGGATACAAAAAGGCAGGTTGGACATGTTAAATACAGTTACATCAGTCTTGTACTTGTCCTGGTCATTCTGATAAACCCAGGGGGCCCAAAATGTGCTGTGTGTGCATTAGGCATGCGTTATGATTGGTTATGCCTGGTTGCATCGCACACTTGACAGGGTTATGAACTCGCTAGGTTTATGAAGTATGTCAGGAGTGTGCTTTAATGGGGAGACCATATCTATGAAAATGTGACAATGTAATCCACCATGGCATCCAAAAGTGACCTCAGCTCAGGTTTTTTTTTTTTTGTAATACCATACTGTTTTTAATGACACACTGCATTAAAGGAACAAGGAACGTCAACCAAAAGAAAGAAAAACCCAGTTTCACTTGACGTTGCCAATAGCATCTTCACAGCATCATAGATTTTATGTCAGCCTGCCTCAGGGGAATGAGGAAGGCCAATAAGAAGACAGAAAAACTCAGTTTTACTTGATGCTACCAGTGACATCAGAGATTTTATGTCGTTTACTGTAGGAAAACCTTTCTGAGTGAAACACGAAATAGACCAAGGTCACATATTTGAGAGAGTTAGAAACCGGAAGCATGGTTCCAAAAGGCAACACAAAAAGGAGGTATGTACGCAGAATGTTTGTATCAAGTCACCATCTTATGCCCGGCATATTGATAGAAAGCATGTCATGGACCCCAACAACCGTCATATCGATGGCATAAGATGAATAAAACATTTCTGCCATTTGAGAGGAGTTTTAAAAGGCCTATATACAAAACCTTCAAAAAAAGATGCCCAGAATTTAAAAAAATAGATAAAAAGCAATCAGTGAACTGTATTTATGATGAAGAGTGCTGAGGTTAAGATGTCCAGGCAAGAAATTGCTCCAAAAAAAGCCAACTCCCTCTAAAGCGTTTTTCTTACTGTTGTGCACTATCAAGTAATGTTACAGCTTTCAGAAAATCAAATTCGTAACTATCTACCTATATCAGGATGTCTGGGAAGTGTTTTCAGATGCTGAATTAATAATTTGTGCATACTTTACGATTTTGTTTTCGTTCCTATCCTGAAACAGATTTTTACTCTTTCACTTAGTTTATGTGTCTTTCCCTCATTTTGGAAGTCAGTATTGTTCTGATCTTGAAGGGAGGTGATGCTTCTGTTGTTACAAATTACCGTACTGTTTCCTTGCGTTGTGCACTTGCTAAGGTTCCTAGGATTGTTGTGTTGTACATACATGGTCGCATTTTTACTGTCATCAAAATTTAACACCTTCACAGCATGGATTCCCAAGTGGTCCATCTGTGGAGACCAATCTATGCACTTTGGATTACTGCTTACCATTTGTCATGAATAGGGGACAAGTTCAAGCAATATTGTTTCATATGACCAAAGCCTTTGACAAAGCCTGTCACAAATTACTCTTGCACAAGCTATTCTTATGTGGTGTCTGCCCAGAGTTGTGTAATTAATTTAAGAATTATTTGTCATTCCACACAAACACTGGTTGTGCTGTAGGCAGTTTCTACTAGACTTTTATTTCAATGTCTGGCATTAATCAGAGATCAGTTCTGGGCCCTCTTTGACTACTGTTTTTTTTATAAACAATATAGTGAGGTGTGTTGAAGGTTCTGAGTTACTCCTTTTTGCTGATGAGATAAAATTGTTTAAAAGAAATCAGTCCCCAGTGCACTGCTATAAATTACAATCTGACGCACCACATATGCTTCTGTGGTGCAAACAGAGTCAATTGCTGCTGGACACTATAAAATCAAAAATGCTTTCATTGCAATGACGTCATGCTGTTGTTGGCTGCCTATATATCACCCTGATGGAATGTCAGTGTAACATATCTTTCTTGTGAAATATATTGATGTGTGTTTAGACAGTGACTTAACATTTAAATATGATGATCACTGTATCCAGGGTAGCACGATGGCAATATTAAGAGTTGTTTAATGCTTGTCTTTCAATATTAATAACCCCTATAGCCTGATTCATCATTTGAATTCTTTAATAAGATTGTGACTTGAATTTGTATCCGTGATGTGAAATTCATCATCAAAGATATAGGCTATGAGTATTGAACATATTCAGAAAGAAACTTATCCTATCAGTCTATGACAGGCATTTAAACATCAATTTAATTATGACTATGAATATCTGCTAGAAAAATAATATTTTTCACTTTTGTCAAAGAGAAGGGAGCTCACTGACTCAGTTTTTCTACATCAGGTTGCAAATAGTGCAATTGACTCAGCTCAGCCCCTCCATGAAGTTAATTTCACAGTCAATTTTCACTCTAACAGACATTTCATCTTTTTATATTCATTCAACATTGCAACATTTCACCCCTTTCTCGGATACATTCGCTTTTAACGGTCACCACTCCGGATCTCGATGTTTGTGCATCAGAGCTTCGGTGTCACTAAGGCTGTTGAGTAATTTACTTTTACTGAGTGGTGTTAATTTTTGTTTTAATTTTTATGTATCAGTATATCTAGAGGTTGATAACATATATATTTTTACCCATAGTGTTTTTGTAGAAGTGCACCAATTAAAAGACTATTATGGTCAGTTTAAGGTACTTTAAATAATAATAACTTTTATTTTTGTTTTCTGGGGGTGGCTGCTTTCACATTGAGTGGCAATCTGTCACCTGTTTTCATTGCCATTTGAATGTGTGGCATAGTACAAGGATTAAAGAAAGAAATGAAGGGGAGGAAAGAAGACAAGCATTAGGGATAAGGGGAGGGGAGCAACCCCCCGCCCCTTTCCTTTTAAAAGCAACTTTTTTATGGGAAAAAAAATTATGTACACCATCTTGTATTTAGAAAACAATGTTTAGCTTTTGGTGACATGGCAAATAATAAGTCAACAAAATAGATCTATACTTCGTTTCAGCTTCGGTCCGAGTGCGGCCGATGTTATGAGCCGAAGGACCAATCAAACAGCGAAAGAGGCACAACGCCATGGCGTGCTCTCTGCAGTTGATAGGACCAGCCGGTATTCGCCGTCTCTCTGCGCGTGCTCCTCCGCCGGCTAGTCCTATCAACTGCAGAGAGCACGCCATTACGTTGTGCCTCTTTCGCTGTTTGATTGGCCCTTCGGCTCAAAACACCGGCCGCGCTCGGACCTAAGGTGAATTGAAGTATAGGCAGCATATCCAGGGTGTCTACAAAATTGCCCCCTCATCTTCTCTGATTTTTCCAAGTTTTTTCCCTGAATATTTTGAATATATTCCCTGACGCTTGCAAAAGAAGAAAATGCAGAGGATGAGGTTGCAGCAGCAGCTGTTCGGGCTGTTCCCGTTTAGTTTGGTGAATCAGGTGGTGGCTTACACTGCCTAGTGATGCCTTGGGCAACTGTTACTCTGTGTGCCATCCACGCCACCACACCCTTCCATGTCACTGGGCTGTCCACATCACCCATTTCACCTGGAGTGGAGGCTTACACTGCCTAGTGATGCCTCGGGCAACTGTTAGTCACTCTGCCATCCACGCCGCCAGACCCTCCCGTGTCACTATATTGTCCACACCACCCATTTTTCCTGACTTAGCCAATTTTTTTATTTTTTTTATTTCTATGACAATTTTTAGATGCTTTGAAACTCCCTAACAATTCCAGGTATTCCAGGTTGGTGGACACCCTGCACATCCTGTGACATCACATCTGTCCGCCGTGACCTCCAATCTCTGCAGACCCCCACCCCCCACCCTAACACTCCCCCTTTCCCAAGCCTTGCCGGTAAATCTGCCCCTGAAAAAAGATTACCTTTTTTAACTGACTGCTTAGCAAGCAGTTGATAATCTGGTAATCTCCCAAGACATTTGGCAAGTCAGCCAATCTAGATGAATACAAACAAACAGATATCTTCATACATTGACCCTTCGCTAGTGGGATTGGGAAGAATCTGCTGGGTCAGTAGAGCGGACCTTTACGGACCAAGTTCACCTATCAAGACCAATCAGACTGCACCTGTTGTGCTCGGGCCAACATATTTTCTTTCGTATTGTTTTATTTTCACTGACTTTTGGATTCCATTTTTATTAGTTTATGCTGTTTATGGGGGGTGCAAAAGAGTCTGTCTGAGAAAATTATAAAAACTGCTCATATAATTATCATGTAAAATAAAATTATAAAGTACTTGCACAAAAACGGGATACTGTGGAAAAGAGTGCAAACGATGAAAGAGCAATACAACTGTCATTTCTTTCCCTTTCAATCTTGGCTTATCACTTCCCTTGGCTTGGTGTGCTATCATTTTGGCAGCCTGACCAAGGATAAGGTTTCAGGAAGTACTATAGGCAATCACTTAGGGCTGCCCCAAGTTCAAGTGTAGTTGTCACACTCCTATGGATGTCAAAACGTCCATTGAATTCAACTTTTTTTTAATACTAGTACCTAATGCAGTATTTGCACTCAATGACAAGGATAAGTATGTAGCTCTACTATGTTTTTTTTTTTTTATTCATTAAAGGGTTAAAATTGCTCATGATCACATTCCACACTTTCTTAGCCTCCAACTGCTTCGTCCTCAAATGTCGAGCCTACGAATATTTAGTCACACACAGATGCCAAAGCCGGCAGACAGAGAGAAGAGAAATAAGGTTGACTCTGTGACACGATTGCGAAGCGGCTGGCTTATGAGCTACCAAATCTGTCCAAAGGTATCCGCACGGAACTCAGACATGGAAGGACACTTCAACACCACCCTCCGGCATGGAGAGGCGCGATCTAGGCAACGTCCCTCGGTAAAAGTGAGCAAAGAGGCCGCCCGACGGGTTTACAATTGCAACATGGAATGCGGCCGTACTCTTCTCGATCGTTAACGATACAGATGAAAGTGAGCACGCTGGTGAAGGCAGCCTTACCTGATGCGGTGGTATTTCCGAATGGCCGTCTTCAACCACACTCGAAACATAACCGCCGCCGAATTGCGTTCATCGTCGATTTCTCGGATGCGCAGACCGGCCACGGCATTCCTGGCTTCGGCCATCTTCGCTCAATTTCGGCGACGAACTGTCCCAACGTTGCGACGGCGCAAAGTGGGGACACGGGAACACTTCACGGGCTCTCCGTTTTCGTCCGCTGCACAGAAAGAGCGACCCGCATGACGCAGGGCGTACGCGAGGCACTGAGAAGGGCCGCTAGCAGGCCCGCTTCCGCTGCGGGCGTCTAATTTCCATTGACGTTTACTGACACTGTGTCCTTCGGGCCGAGGTAAGACGCGATCGTGAGCTTGCCAGCTTGCGGCACACACACTTACCTCGCAACGCAGCGTCGTACACGAAGGGCAGGCCACAGACGCACACTCCACGCCTCTCTCCACTAGCTCATTCGAGGATCACGTGAAATCCGCCGGCGTAGAATCATTCCGGAGCTAAGGCAACAACAAAGGAGAGCACAAGCGTAATCCGATTGTTAATAGGTCATGTCGTTGGAGCTCGATCTTCCATTTTAGACGAAGAGCCGCCCAGAGCCAGGAAACGAGAGGAGATTCGAAACGAAACAAACAAAACAGCTTCCTGGCGGCGCTGGGGCGAACTAACAGATGCGAAATATCTGCCAACAGCCGGCGCGGGGCTTTCAGTCTGCTACAGCGAGTCAGCTGTCGGTGTTTTGCTGGGAGAATTTTCCTGTGGCTCACGAAACATTAACCTTGCTTGGATCGAGTACCCGATTATTTGCGAGTCGCCCTTGTAGCGAGCCGGGAGTCTCTATTTTTTTACGGGATTGGAAATATTTCTCTTCTGTCGAACTGCGATGCCGGGCGTTTTTTCAAAGTGGTCAGAAGCACTTTTCCAAATTCTAAGGATACTTCGGCTCAGCACAAACGCGAAAACTAGTTGCACAAATTTGAAAATCGTAATAAAAAATATTAAAAGAACTAACCGCTTTTTTTTCTCCTTAGATTTAAGCTAGCGATGGCAGTCCAACCAGTGACAAAGTTTTAACCTAAACATTATCTCAACCAAAAGTTATAAGTGATTTTCTGTCTTTGAGTGTGTGTGCGTGTGCGTGCGTGTGTGTGTGTGTGTGTCTGTCTGTGTGTCTGTCTGTCTGTGTGTGCGTGCGCGTGTTTCTGGGGGGTGCGCTTTGTTCTTTTGGTTGTCAAAGATTAAAATAAATATTCTATGAACGGCGTTGCAGAAACGTTGAGGTGAAGAATAAGATAGTTGTGAAGTAAATAACATCCGAATATTGAGCCGCCCGAAAACGAAATAACCGGAGCTAATCAGGGACCTTTCGTATATCGTATGCTGCGCTCTCACGAACAACGCGTACGATCCACGAAAAGTATCTGATGTCATTGTGGTATATCTACATTTTGAAAGGATGCTTCTATAGACGGTACACAAGTACCATCAGCAAGTATTTTTTTAGAGAAAAATGCAAACAGGACACCCCTTCACTGTAGCTGGTCACTCTGACTTGCTCGTTTGTGCGCAAAAAAAAAAAATAGTTTAAGACGTCGAGATGAATTTAATGAATAACATTTTGTAATATAACTTAGTATGAAAACTTTTACTGCATTTGGGAATTACAGCGTTTTATTGTCTGAATAAATTCGGTTTGTATTTAAACCAGGTCTCAAAATCGCCAGCCGCGAAAATATGTGTCAGCCTTTCTTTGTATTGTGGACAGATATTATTGGGTTGGGCAAACACTTTCTCCTCGAGGTGGAATGCACCAAACATACCAATGCCGCATCAATGGTCAACTCTCAGTCAAGAAGAGATAGTGAGAGATAGGTGGAAACAAATAAACATTAGCTGACGCAGCAGGAGAGAGGATCATTGCTTAGTAGCAGTAGAGTGCCTCTAGAGCAGAACCTAGTCCTTCCAAAAAATTAAATATGCGTCTAGGGTCGTTTCATTTGAAATCGAACACGCGTGTCGGTGTTGTGGGTGTTTTGATTTGCCTCGAATATACAAGTCTTTTTTTCAAATTTGACAGATTTGTTTAAAAAGTTTACAACTCCCTGTAATGCCGAATTAGAGCGCAGCTCTTGAGGATGAGGAGGGGAGGGTACGGAGAGAGCGGTATTAAAGCCCTTTCATGTTTCAAAAGTAGCGCAAGGTACGTCGATGCACGAGGCACGTGCAACATGCAGCTCTTGGGAAGATCATGGCGGCACAGCGCAGAACTGAGCTGGATTTTAGACGCCATGAATTTCCCAGAATTGGCGCGCGGCACGTGTCTCGAGCATGTCTACAACAATGAACGGCACCACTTTTCCCAGGATAGAGGGGCTTTAGGCGGTATGCCCCTCCTCTCATCCGCACCCTCTTCTTCTCCGTCCTCATCTACTCATGCCGTGCTCCTCGCCCTTTCCACCTCCCTCCCCCTCCCTCTTCTTCCTCCCTCCTCCCCTTCATTCTCCTCCCTCCTTACCCTCCTCCTCCCTCCCGCGCGGTGCATTATGAAAAACATCCCATAATGCAACGCGCGCGTCACCGCGGTGCATTATGGGACGTTTCCCATAATGCACCGCGCGGTTACGCCGACGGCGATGGCGACGCCGACGCCGCTCAAGTCGGAAACAGGCGCCTAACGCTCTAAAAAGCTGTGAAAACTACACTTTTGCGGTTTGCTCAGGTGAGTTATACGGCCAAAGGGCATAGTATATGGAACTGATCATAACGATAAGTCGACTAATTAAGTAAAATGTGGTAATTAACTTTTTAATCAGTGAGAATAGTCGTATGGTTCCAATTAGAAATTTGCTGAGCGTCGTCCAAATCCTCTAAACCAGTAATTTTTAGAAAGATTTGAGCGCCTCCAAAGCGCAGTAGTGCACTAAAGCTACCACTCGTGGAGCAGACACAAGGCTGGGGCTAAATTAGAGACGGAAAAACCGCGAGGGCGCCTTACCGCAATCGCTAGCTTTGTACTTGTTCCACGAGTGGTAACTTTAGTGCACTACGCTTCTCCCCCGCTGAACTTTTTCTGAAAATGACTGATTTAGCGGCTTTCGATAACGCTCAGAATGTTTCTAATTGGAACTATGTGTCTATTTTTATAAATTAAAAAAAGTTAATTAACAAGCTTTACTTAATTAGCTAACTGATCATTACGACTAGCCTCCTCTTCTATGTCCCCCTGGCAGTATAACTCACCTGCATAAACCGCATAAGTGTAACTTTCACGACTTTTTTTTAAAACAAACCTGTAAAGCTTAAAAGAATACCTTGTATATATGAGAAGAAAGTAAAGCCCTTGGTGGGAAAACAGCAACAGCGGACAACCCCCGTCACCGTGCCCGTTTTATATATATATATATATATATATATATATATATATATATATATATATATATATATATATATATATCATTTCTGAAGTGAACAAAAGGACTTTTAAATATTTCTTGAAAAATTATTTTTCTCCACAAAAGTTTCGAAGTGGAGCAAGGTCAAATGCTACGTTTATGTTGCTTGATATGTGTACCCAGTTCGGTCGGTGATTATAAATAGGTAAAAACAAAAACACTCACATTCTTTTTTCTTTGTAAATGTATGATGTTTTTGCTTTTAAAATTAAATTGCTTTGGCATATTTAATGCCCGAAATAAAACAATGCCAAACAGCGCATCTTTGTCGTTTCGGTCACATATTTGGAGCCTTGTATCTTAGGATTCGTTGTACAGTTTGCTTATCGCGTACAATATATGCCTATTGGCCTATGCATGTGCTACCAACGGGTACCACTTGCTTTAATTTATTTTCACGAAATAATTTATACATATGTTTAGATTTCATCAAAAAGTTAGCGCTTGTCTTGTGCGCACCCTAAAGCAGGGCTGGCAAGGTCGAAGCAAACGGAATGCTGGAAAGGAGGGGCGAAACCTCCTCCCTCTCTCCAGCATTTCGTCCGCTTCCTTCTCCCCAGCCTTCCTTTCCCTCGAAAACTTTGTTTAACCTGTAACTAACTATAGTTTTCGGTTATTTTTTTTTTCTGCGCTGTGTTGATTTTATTAGGTATGAACTAACTAGACCGCATCACCACCCTAATTTTAAAAAAAACAACTAAGCCATAATTTGAACCTACGTTATTAAAAAAGCCATTCTTTCATTTCCTTTTTAATTATTTATAATGTTCCCAATCATGCTAACTTTTTTGCGAGCATAATCAAAGTCCAAGGTCCCCATCTCTGAATCGGCAAAAGGGTAGTTTCGCAAGTTGACAGAATGCTGAGGGGATGGGGGTCGGAAGTGTTTGGAGAGATGTCGACAGAAAGTGGTGGGGGTGTAAAGATAGGAGAAGAAAGAGTTGTGTGAACGTATCCCCAGGAACAAAATGTCTCCCTCTACCCCTCTGCTGTTCCGGCGCCACAAACAACAAATGTTTTTTTTTTTTTTTTTTTTCTTTTTTTCGGGGGGGGGGGGGGGGGGCACTACAGTCGGGCTGCATCTTTTTTTTTTTTGGCTCAGTACATATAATACAGTATTTTTTTTATCTCAGTACATATAATACAGTATTTCTTCTTCTCTCATCACGTCCCTAGTTTTAAGCTGTTAAAAACCATAAGACGAGATCTACGACCGGCGGTCTTAGTGTTGTAGCTATCATTGCACTCCTTTGCTCAATACTTTTACACTTTGCTTGTGTCCAGTTTTAACAATGGCTGTCGTTTACAGATTTGATCAAGTGTCCTTACGATGGTCAACATGAAAAGAAGATATATCGAAATGAGCGTTTACTCTGTGAAAGGGCACCTCGTGAACCTGCTGAACCGAAGTCAACCTTAAAGAACACATGCAAAGGAAAAAAAAAACATTTGTTTTAAACAGCTTAGATGGAATAAGGATGTCATAAAACAATTTTACAACGAAGAAAAATATTTTTAGAGCTATACTTATGGCGCTATACGAATTTGCAGTTGGCGTCCGCGGGCGCCACGGAAAAGTGGCCCTTATTTATCACGTGACTGGCCCATATTTGTCACGTGGTGCTTGCGCTCTTTCGGAAGCTTCCTATGGCGTCTGAAAGTAACTTATTCATCTTTGTTTGAAGTATAACAAACAACTAAGACTAATAAGTCACTTTTAAAGCCCAGAGGAAACTTTTGAAAAGGCGCAAGCAGACGTGATAGACCTGTGCGCCGGTCAGATGTAAGGCCGTAAGGCATTAGTCAGGTGACGGCGGCGGCGCCCCGAAACCGACGAACTTGTGCGGCGGCGGCGACGGCGGCGTGGAGAAATGCGTTGAAGCGGCGGCTCCCGCGGGCGCCAACTACAAATTCGTTTTGCGCCGTAAATATAGCTCTAAATCCTTAAAAATAAAAATTAAAAATAAATTCTGCAGAACCCAGGGAACCTGGGTTCAATCCCCACCTCTGCCCGTTTTGATCTGGTTGAGCATCGCACCGGCGTGTAGTCGTGTATCACTACTGCGTGGTGTATGTTAAAGACCCCAGGCTAGCGGTTGTACCGCACTGGCTAAATTGCTCATCTGCAGCGAGTGGCGTACTCGCCGCAAATTTGGAATGGCTGACCAACTACTCGCTGTATAAATATCCACACAACCCCAATTATTAGGTTGAGCCCAACTGCCCAAGTTCATCTGTGCCCAAGTGTAGTTTCCAAGCATGATATGCTCAGGGAGGTTCAGGAAAGAATTCCTGTTGGCGGACTAAACACGACTCCACTGAGATTCCTATTGCCGTATAACTAAAAATTACAACAGTCAGAGCGGAAAGACGAAGTAAGGCAAACTAGAAGCCGCATTCGGTTGAAATGTTTCTAGGAAATTAGCTACTGCCTATTAGACAAATTGTTTTTTGTCACAAAACCAAACAGATGAGACTTCTCAGGTTATTGCTCCTGCTTAGCGTGTAGGGAGTTGTGGCTCAATGTACGTCCGTATTTTGTCGAGTCGTTGCTCAGTCGGGAGAGATGCCAGTTTCAGGTACTAACTTCTATTAGCGCTATGGTGATTCTCGATTAATTGACAAAGTATCAAAATAATTTCTGCGAAATTGGAAAAAAAGCTGCAGGCTCACTTAGGTGCGTGAAAATCGACATTTTTTTATCGCACGGGGAAGTCTATTGCCTCTGTACCCCGCGTCACTAGTTGCGTGCAGTACAGGCGAAGGCAACGCCAGGTGACAGGAGACAGGGCAAGCACCCGGAAGGCTGGGAAGGAGGAGAGACACCTCCTTTCCTCTTTATTTCTCCCCTCGCCTTCCATCGCCCTCCTCTCCCGTCCCGCCTTTCTATAGTGCTCGCCCTTTCTCTCTTCGCCAGGCGTTGCCTTCACCTGCACTGCACACAACTAATGACACGGAGTATAGCTATTAAATTTAGACACTGAATACTGCACACAATGGCGTCACTAGACTATTGTTAGCAGCGCATGCTAAAAGCGCGAGCTATTTGCTTTAGGCGAAGCCTGGATGGCTGCACGAGCGCTCGTACAACGAGTGCTCCAGCTAAGGCAGTCAATGTATACCCGCTCGCGCTGGCACAGCTTTCGGAGTTTGTACATGCTAAGGTGAGACGATGTATAGGGGTGGAGGATTGCTTCGGGTGCAGCGATCACAGGGGGGTGTGGTGTAGCTGGGAAGTGAAAGGAGGAAGGGGGGGAGGGGTGTTGCGCCGAGCAACGAGGGGGGGGGGGGGGGGGCGGTAGGGTGCCCACCCCAGGTGCCGCTGACCCTAGTGACGCCGCTGGCTGCACAAGGTACCAAATCTGTGAACGTCACGCATTATTAAAATTTGACTCAAGTAAGTTCGAGCGTAATAAGCTGGAGCAGCTAGGTGACTGGACTGCTAGCGGCAACATCATGTCAACAGCGTCGTTAGGATTGAGTCGGCTCGGTGCACCCTTCGGGAGGAAAATTACATGACAAGCCGCAGAACGCAGATAAGGTGAGTGATTCAAAAATATTATATATACTAAACTGATATAAAGAACAATGTGCACTCCGTCTCAAGTGTCCTAGCATAAATAATAATCATAACAATAGTTATAATAATAATAATAATAATAATAATAATAATAATAGCAAAATTAATAAAAAAAGCATGCTTTGCCAGTAACGTCAGAACAGCGGAGGGGTAGGCAGACATTTTTTTCTAATGGGGGCACGTTCGCACCTCTCCACCACCATTTTAGAAAGATGACAGAACCGAGGACGCTAGAATAGTGGGCTCGACCGATGGGCTCATCGGAACACAGAAAAGCCATCCTCGATTTACTGTTGGATCTGGTACCCGTGACATCATCTAGTCCCCTACTCCAACCCCTGTAGTTCCCTCAAGCCCCAGGATAACTCGGCCAAGGCAGGCGATTCCTTGATTAAGATAAATACATGTTTTAGCTCACTCACTCCATCACTCCTTCCTCCCCCAAACGCTCCCCTTAGCATTGTAAGGCGAAAAAACCTTGCAGAAAAGTAAACTGGTGAGACTACCCTTTTACCGATTCAGGTGAATGTATGTGGGTTTAAGCACTTCTGCAGAAAATACAAAAAGGAAAAAAAAAAGGGGGGGGGGTGCTTTGATTATGGTCACAAAAGTAGGCATTAGTGGGAACGATATAAAAATAAGAAATGAATAAAAAAAACGGCCTTTTTTAATAACGTGATTTCAAATTATGGCTAAATTTACTTTTTAACGACATTTAATCAATTATTTCGCGAAAATAAATTACACCAAAGTGATACCAGTACATGTATAGGCCTAAGGACATATAGTATCTAATAATCAAAATGTATAATGAATACTAAGGTAAAACTCACGTACAAGACTCCAAATGTGGTACCAAACGTCAAAGATGCGTTGTTTGGTAGTTTTACTTCTGGCATTAAATATGCCAAAGTGGGTTAGTTTAAGTAAAGAACAGTTCAACTTCATACGTCATACATTTAGAATAAAAATTACTGAGTGTTTTTATTTTTACCTATATTTAACACCTGACATACCTGGGTACAAAAATCAAGCAGCCTAAATGTAGCATTTCACCTAGCTCCAGTTCAAAATTTTTGTGTAAAAAAAAATGTGTCGTATATTTTAGAAAAATCGTTTTGTTCATTGTGTAGAACGGCCTACTATACATACACGTATATATTTTAGGCAAATCAAAATACACTCAGGCACGCGTATTTGATTTCAAATGAAACCACTCTTCAAAAGTGTTTTGCACGTCCTGCAGATGTGCTACCACATCAAAAATCCGGATAGAAATATGCACACATTGTCTATCTTACACACCGGCCTAAAGATAAGTGTGAAGGAACATGTGTTGTCTCACCACATTACCACAAAAAAAAAAAAAAAAAAAGGAAAAAAAGCTTTTTGCGCTATGGTTTCTGTCCTCAGCTGCTTTCTCCTTCCTGTTAAGCGCGTCCGCTGTGGAAGTCACACGCTGCATATACCACAAGTAGTACTTGCCATTTTGAACGGATGACAGCTGAGTTGTTTTTCGGTATCCAGAAGCAAGCACAGGGGACGACACAACCCTGCCCACAACACCGACGCAGCACGGAAAAGACGACGAGACACGCTCCGCGCGAGTTCAGGGGCCAAATGTTTCTGCAACCTTGGAGCTTTCCTTTCCTCGCCGCCTGTCCAGGTAAATCAGCGGCGGGCGGAGGCACTCGCACTAGGCACAGACGGCTCGCTAAACCCGTTCTCTGACCGGCGCGTCAAGCGCCCATACAAGCGCGTCTCGGCTACGCTTTCCGTATTCGCAATCCCGCGGCAATACGCACGTGCACGGTCAAGAAACGAGTTTGGTTGAATACAAAGCCTCTCGGTCAAGATGACAGTTCATTTTCAGCCATCCAAACGTATTATGCTGCCTCCGTGAACTTAGACGAGCCCTCGGTCCCTCGATCCGCTTGCTTATGCCACGATAAAGGTTTGCAAGTGCAGCAGTGGTGGAGTTGACTCTGTCACACATACCCTAGTGATAACAATGTATAGGACCTTGCTCGTTGGCGCTGCGGACGGCGAACGGGAGGTGGGCTGCCTGTCTCCATGTCCATTGTGTGGAGAGGATGACTCTCGTTGCGCAAGAGCACTGAACGCTTAAAGTCCACGGACGGCCCGACCTTGTGGGAATGTCGGGTATGCTATCAATGCAATAATAAGATATGGCGAGAGATTAGCGGCCACTGTCAGCAACCTTGATACCAAATGAGAGAAAAACGGTAAGCAACATGACGGTGCAAAAACCCGCCAGAGTTAACGGCCCCTTGAAAAAGCATTTGTGCCTTGAGCAGGCGCGAACATCCCAGGGTACACATGATGTGGGCAAGGGTGTATACAAGGCTTACGAGGCTTCGGACCGAGTCATAAGCCCGACTACGCCCCTGCCGATACCGAAAACTCCCCGCCTATGGTTGAGAGCACTGCAGAGAAGCTAAGATCTATAGGAAACGGCCAGTAAAAAACGACAGACAGACTTGCGCTTTGTGCTCATAATGTACACATTAAGATGGCGTTCCGGATGTTTAGCAATAAGTTTAATCTTACATGGAATTATAATCGAACGTAACCTAAGGCGTACAAGAGAAATGCAGACCGTAAAATTGGATTGCTAAATTGGTACCCAGCGTTGTTTTTGTTGTGTCCAAGAGCTTTTTGGACTTACCCAAGGACGGGATTTGACATGAAGAAAGTGCAGCTTTACGTGTGGTAGAATGTTTACTCGAGGTCTGCGAAATAAAGCTGCGCTCCGAACACGCATCTTGGATTGTAACCGGATCACGCCGGTTGTCTATCCCTAGTCACGCTTTGCTTAGCGGAGCGGCAACCAGATTCAAGTGGCCGTGCTTGTGAAGTCCGAGTACCCTGGAGAGTAGGATTGCCATGGAAATGCACACGGGTTTTGTCCTATTTAGTACACACGGAATTCACATTAATCATTGATGTTTTATCAAACTACCGATATATCCACATTTTTGTAATTATAAAAGTGTTAGCCATGATTTCTAGCAGGCCCACAGGTCAAGCATGGGCATGTCCCACTTGGGCTGTCTCGCAACAGTGCTCGAAGATACCAACAAAAGCTTCCACGCGGGTTAAATTTGGCACCCTAAGGTAAGAAATGCAGGACCCATTGAGTCTTGCGTTTGATGTGTATTTTGATAAAATAAAGTAGGCTAAATAAGCCCAGGTGAGTTGGCTGCGTGGGCCCCTTTTCTGTATCAGTCAGTTACGAGTCTGCCAGCGTGGCAGCAAGCGGCGTAACAACGGGGGCGGCAGGGAGTCCAAGGGCCCCGGGTAACAGACGTCCCAGTCACGTGTAGAGGTGCCACCAATGGCGGTATCCGCCCCCTCCCCCCTCCCCCCTTCCTCCGCTTGGAGGGGGGGGGGCACCACTGGCGGCATTCGCCAGTCTCCCTGCGACCTTGGGGAGTGAAACGGGGGAAGGGGGGGGGGGGGGGTGCTACGGAAGACTAAACGGCCCCGGGTGCCGGATGGCCTAGCTACGCCCCTGGTGGCAGCCAAAGAGAACTGGCACTGTGCCTGTGGGCCCCTGTGAGTAGACCCATTAGTGGGCTGCCGTAGCGGGTCCCCTTTTCGTCTTTTCAAGGTAGCTCAAGTGGGTTTCCCAACTAGGCCCCCTGTAGGTCCTATTGCGAGGGGTCTATCCTCTCTAACCCTAAGTTGCAGATATCGCGTGGGTCTCACTCGAACTGCCCTCGGGGAACTCACATTAGCTCCCACTTTAGAACCCAGAGTGCACAGTTTGAGATGCTTGAGAAATAAGACCTATGCGCACAGCTACACCAGCGATGCAGCAATATATCACTCACCAAGAATGAAGTATTCAAGGCTCAAAGTTCCGGCCTGAGCCTACTGGCGACGTGCGCGACCAAAATCGTCATTGCGATCGGCCTTCGGGATTAGCCAAAGGCTCACTATAACGTCTTCGCAGGGGACGCACGTATACGGTCGGCGATGCAAACCGGTGCGCTAGCTTTGACTGCGTTGCATGCTACGTATGAAACGCAGTATAGTCTTGAATAAGCTGCTGCACCTTCACTCACTGCCAAAGACGCACCCCACGACAGTTCCAGAAATATGTAAAATGCAGCCGCAGGATTCGGTTTCGAATAATATGCACGACGCGAAACTTGTTGAATCTCGTATAAAACGAATTCTCAAAACGAGTACTCGCAGGTATAGCTATGTGGAAAGATGTCCGCTTCTTACGGAGCGAACCCAGGTTCGATGCAAAAAATAAACATGTTTTTTTTGTTTATTTTTATTTTTTTTTTACAATTATTTTTGAGAAAAATGAATGCCGACGAAACTTTGTGCATTATTTTTTTTCCTTTCCTTTTTAATTTTTTTTGCACAATTATCATTTAAAAAAAAAATGTCGACAAAGCTTTGAACTAAATGGTGTCGGACTCCCTTTCTAGAGGTGCATAGGGAAACAGCGGGGCTTGGGTTGCCGGCTGGACACCGCGAAGCAGCATTCGTACTGTTTTTTTCGGTAGGGCAAATGCTGCTGACCTGTGACTCCCGTTGAGAAGGGAGAGAGTCAAAACAGAGTCGCACGAAAAATTGACTCTCTAAGAGAGTCGCGAAGTGTCAAAGAGAGTCATGGAAGCAGTGACTCCCTTTGGACTCCCTTTTTTTTAAGAGTGTAAGATAATGTGGACACGGCGCGCGTCGCAGCCTGACAGGTAAAGTATTATCCTCCCCTTGATAGTAAGCACCAGATGACTCTTCGATGACCGGCTAGTGGTTGCCTGTCGCAAACCCGGTTTCCGATTCTTTTTTTAAGTCGTTTTTTGGGTGTGTTACGTTATGTAGAACTTTGCATTTACACTACGCTTGTGGCTTAGACATGGCTGCGCCACTTAACCTAGTTTTGTGCCATTAAAGGCGGCAAAAACAGGTTTATGAACGCATTGAAGCGGTATCTCTGGCGTGGTGTTCAAGCCAGTGTCTGTCGAGGTAGTCGAGGTTAGAGCAGACGCGCCGAGAGAAAAGCGCACGCGCAAAAATGTCATAACAGCAAAACTTTTTTTTTTCATTGCGCTGTTTGGTTGGGTGGGAGGGATGCTGTCGGAATAGGCTGGCGCGCGCTAATACATGGGTTGTACTGACGTCACATCGCATACTTTTCATCACCATGTAAGAGGACAAGAGGGATGCTGCTTTTGTAAGAATTTTGAGTGACGGGTGAATCTTCTATAATCTTCTGGGAGGAGAATAGCGACGCCTGTGCAAATCCGGGAGGTACAAAAGAGGGTCCTGATAAGAGGCGAGCTCCTTCTTGCCCTCGTCTCTGGTGGTCATCGGAGCACAACTCAAGTTTGCAAACAAACCGGGGCGCCCCTAGCGGACGCCACCGGCGCCGCGCATGCGCGGTGAACTGTGGGCAAGAAGCTCGCCGTCGCCCATAAACAAACCATTGAATTGCGTTGTTCTCAGCGTAGGTGTGAGTCCCCGTGCTCTTTTTCGCGTTGGAATTGTTAATTTTACGTCCTCCTAACAATGTCAGACTACTTGAGCGGCTTCAGCAAAATGAACGAGGCTCGTTACACCGCAAAACTTTGCGTGAATAATGTGACATGTGGCGATTCATTCCACGTGGACGCCGCAGAATGGGCGCTAAAGCCTGACTCCCACGATGAGATTCTGCTCGCTATTTTCAATCAATCAATCAAATCAAGCTTATTTCTAGAAACTCTGGTGGAAAAGCCCATACAAAAAGCTGTTTAAAAACAGCTTGACTAGGTATGGGATCCGTTTACATTGGTAGCAGGAACAAGTGAATGACACATTAAAATTATACAATGCTAGAAAAGTACAAACGAAGGGCTCTCTTACTTAGGGTATATATATTTATGTTGTTATTGATACACTTGTTTAACAGAAAAGGTATATTATAATGTAAGGAGCGAAAAATTATAATTTGTACGAGACCGAGGGAAGGACCTATGAAACTGTGTGACGCGTGCTAACAACACATTCATGCCTTCTAAGATGTGAAATTGCATACAAAAATTCTAGAAGAGCTGGGGAGGAAAAACAAACTGTATAAAGCAAACGATATTCGTACATGGATTCTATATGTAGTATGTGAAGTCTGGAAAATAATGGTTCTGTGTGGTCATAATAAAAAACATCTCCAATATAACGTAAAATTTTCTTTTGGAGCAATAATATGTTATTAAGGTTTGTTTTGGTCGTAGTGGCCCACGCAAGATGGCAATAGTTTAAGCGGGACTGGAATAATGCATCATAAATATTTAGCTAAATGATGTGTGGCAAAATATTACGGCAGTGAGCCATAACACCAACCATCCGTGAAAGTTTTACAAGTATATAATTTATATGGTTATCCCACGTCATGTGCTCTGAAAAAATTACACCCAATGTTTTCTGCAGGTTTACAAGTTCAATTGAGGAAGATGGCGTCGTCATTGTAGGCCATCTCGTGTGTACTTGAAAAGTAGTTATTAAAACATTCCGCCAATGTCGTACTCGACATAGCTTGATCATCTATAATTAATTCACCTATACCAGAAAAAACCTGATTGCGATTTAAGACTTCATTTATAATTTTCCAAACAACATCTGGGCGTTGCTTAGGAACATCTTTGAATATTTGTTTATAGTACGACGATTTTGCTTTTCTGAGCTCAGACGTTAATTCATTCCTAAGTTTTTTGAAACGCGACAACTTGCTTTGGTCTCTTGATCTTAAAAATGCCTTGTATAAGCGATCTTTCTTTTGCATTATTTTTATGTGCACTGGTGTAATGGGGACCCACGTCTCGTCGCCAATAGCAATGATGCAATGCCGATTTGCCGACCATCGACTACGTCGGCCCATCTCGATCCAGAGTCCTTTAAATATATAGTGGTCCCTGCGGCAGCAGGGGA